AATATTGCACTTCTTCTTGACTACTACTACAGACCATGAACATGATTGCCTAGTATTTAATATTCAAATAGCAACTAGATCAGTCCAGCTTTTTAAAGTCATTTCATTCTACTTATGAATAATTCCTTTAATCAAACATCTACATGTACACCTAATCTATTTCATGACCATTTTTGTCCATTTACTAGAGGTCCTTAACAAATACATCTGCGCTCCGTCTTTTAAAGAGTTGATATCAATCACGACTATGTTCATAAGAGATAGGAAACTTGCGATTGATTGGAGGACTTAAAGATAAACTTTAGTACTGGTAATGCGATTGCATTGTGAAAGAAAAGGTGTGGAAAGGATCAGAAACAGTTGATCATGTAGCATGTAAGTATTGGTGTACACTGCAAGGTTCTGGAGTCATCAAAATCATAATAAATTTGACCGAGTCTTGGTAAAGTAACAAGCACATACACAGAAAGCTATGTATGGGACAACACGCATGTTGTCGGGGTTGGTACTACCTTGATTCCTTGTCTTTCTATGCTCATTACTCAGCCAGTATACATTTTCTTCCAAAATTGTTTGGCACATGTCATTTATTTGTAATCTTGAACATTCAGTGTAAGTTTCGTTTGATTCTGTAAGAAATAATTTTCTTTTTTTTTACCAGTACTCAACCTTCTCTTTAAGATTGATTTGGATCAATCATAACTCTTTATAAGGCAGGGCCCAGGATTTATCCAAAGCTATTCTAAGCTTCCCCAAAGCATGAAGCAAAAGCTTGAACCAATTCATCCAGCATAGGCCTCCAATCTAAAGCCCCAGTCCCATATAAAGCCGGACCAGCACGGACGAGCACGGACCACTCCGGACCATCCCGGACCATGGTATGGGGTGATCCGGGATGGTCCGGGATGTTTTGTTAAAAAAAGTGTGATGCTTTTAAGCTACAGTCCCATATACGTCCCGGACCGTCCCGGACCATCCCGGACCCCATCCGGGGTGATCCGGGATTCGGTCCGTGTTGACACCGTGTTGGCACCGGGGTGGTCCTGGATGGTCCTGGATGGTCCTGGATGGTCCTGGGCGGTCAATAACTCACTCCCGGACTGCCACGGATCAACACGGACCGCCCCGGCGCCACTACGGATGACCCCGGACCCAGCACGGTGGCTACACGGATCACCCCGGATCAAACTATTGTCCCGGACCGTCCCGGACCATCCCGGACCACCCCGGCAGTTTTTGACCGTCAAAAACATCCGGGGTCGACTCCCGGATCGCCCAGGACCATCCAGGACCATCCAGGACCATCCAGGACCACCCCGGTGCCAACACGGTGTCAACACGGACCGAATCCCGGATCACCCCGGATGGGGTCCGGGATGGTCCGGGACGGTCCGGGACGTATATGGGACTGTAGCTTTAGCAATCGTCATCACAGAATCGTTAAAACCACCCCTGACCAGCCTGGAGCAAAACGTGAAGATAAATCTGGTATTATACTGCGATGCTGGCATCAGGGATGTCGATTGCTGTTTAGTATTAAGAGGAGTGACGAAGATGAACCAGTAGTAATTACGGAATTATGAGAGTACAGAGGGGTTCCGAGGGCATATTAACACCGATATAGCTAGCAGTCGTGTAGAAGTGTGCAATCTCCATACATGATTAGAAAACCGTCCTGTTTTTAATTGTTTATCGGTGGATGAGAATCATCCCGGCAGGATCAACTGTTGTTCCCAAAACACAAATAAAACTTTTAACCTTTGATTGCTTCTAGCGCAAGTCCATCATGTGTATTTGACAACAAATTCAACCATGTTTCATCTTTCATATTCTTTTCTATGAATCATATTATGAATCATTTTAAAATTATATCTATTATTTGTTGTTCGAATACTTAGGGATTATGTCATGGTAATATCAATATTTCAATAAACGGCATATCTTGTAGAAATCACCTTGGGGCATCATTAAAGTATAATACCATGGAATATCTTAGATCATTGTCTGTCTTTGTAAATGCTTCTAAAGATAAAATACGACTGCATATTTTCATAAGTCATGTTTAAGCTAATCAAGTTTATCAGTTTCAAAAGTATAATTATAAGTAGAACATGTGATTATCCTCACTAGATTTGCACAGAATTTCGACTTGTAACTGTAGCCAACCCCACACCCCCCCCCCCTCCCCACTAAACAAAAAAAGGAACTTTGTGAGATTGCCTCTGAGATTTATTTTGTAATAAAGCTTTTATGGCTTAGGAAAATGCATTAGCTGACTATTATATTTCTCCTTTTCAATTCAAATCAAGGTTGCCGTCTTTAGAGATAAATCCATTAACTGTAAATCCATATAAATCAATATACTTGTGCCGTTTTCATTGACATCATATATATTACAACTTCTGGATTTAGATTTCTGAAGCCCCAAAATACACTATTATGTTCAAGTAATGAATGTAATATGAAATATTTAAGGTACTATTTCACATTTGAAAATAAATATTGCAAAATAAGTCCAAAGGCAAAGGATGATGGGAAGCAAGATTGTATGAAACAACGTATCAACGAAATATGAATTGAAATGATACTCCTCTAGTTATGATGGCATGCATGCCTATGACTTGGGGTTACATGTACTCATATCACGGTACAAATACAATTCTTATTGAAAGTTAACATTAATTTTCCCCTCATATAACATTGATCACTTTCCTGTCAAATTTCAGGTTTATTTCTTTTCACAGTCTAACTATATGGCAAATCAATGAAATATTAATCTACTTTTATGGTCAGTGTAAACATTTTAATAGGACTTTCATAACTCAGAGAACTATTGTTGACAAAACTTCTTTCCTTTGTGGGTTGGTCAAGGGTTAGAAACCAGAAGAAGAAAACTTAAAAGATAAAGGATATAATTGGGTCAACGATGAAAAAGGGAATATATTTTGCGGTCTGATAGCAAACACAAGGTCAGTAGCACTGGGTTGAATACCATGGGGGTCATTTTCTTACAATCAGTGGTCAATTTCTTGACCAAAAGGTGGATTTATTAGGCCATCAACCCCTTTCTATAATCCCAGAGTCTCATACTTGATCAGTTCACTATTCACTGCTACTTTATATACCGGGTAATAATAATCTACAACCCCAAATTGAACAAATGTTTATAATGATATCATCATGCGCGATAAAATGGTGTAACTTTCATAGAATGAAGCAACTCATGAGAGAAAAGCGTGCAGGAAGAAAAAGACAACACAAAAGATCAAATTAATGATCCAAACGTGGGATAAACTCAAATCAAAACAAGTCACAAAAAAGTAGTTGTCCCCCTGGCCATAATAAGAAGTAATATTATCCTGTGTATTCAAAATCTATACATATATATTACTCTTTATAAAGGTAAGCAGAAAGTAGACCACTAAATAAGAATTTGACATTTTGAAAATCATTTTCTGTTTTCTTTCAATAATGATCTCTAGCTTTATGTTCAATATTTTGAACAATAATATTTGTTGTTATGTCAACTAGTGATTCACAAATCTTCTCTTGGTCTACACCCTTTTCATGTCATTTTTCTTGAAATTGTATCAGACCTCTTCCAGATATTTGATAGGTAATTCTAGGTGACTGCTTCATACAAAATAAAACCCTTTCTTACTCCTGTCCACCACAATATAGTTATCATATATGCGAGATCAGATCTCACAATTATCTTCAAATATTTGTGGTCTAGACACTTTGGTGGACCTTTACACAAAACTCAATAGGTCAAACCTACCCCTCTGCGTGCCATGGTATCTATCCCTTTCACAGGAGATAAAGATCAAAATCATGCGATGGTATGGGAGATACCAAATAGACTGAAATGGATATCAATTTGGCATCACAAGAATAAATTTGTTTTCAAGATGGAAGACATTCATCTCCATACAAATGAAAAATATTGATTCTCACACAAAAATAGAAGCGGATGAAATATCTATGAGTGCATCACGCAAGTCCTCAGCAATAATACTACGGCAACTCATATATCTGGCTATTACTGATATAGGTTAAGGTTTGTTCAGATATGGCACGGTAGACCGCCGTAAAAAAGCCGCCGCTGTTGTTTTACATATAAAATGAATGGCAATTACACGCCACAAAGGACTTGTGCATATTCACTGAGTTCTGTGTTAAAAGATTTTAAAATTAGAAGTATATTACACTTCACATCATCATTTTTTAAAAAACGCAGCGATTTTGCCGCATCATATCTGAACAGGCCTTTAGAATTTGTTCTGACATCTCTGACTTACCCTCTATACCTGCTCATGGCATTGATTGAATGAAAAGTGAGAAAGGGGCAAAATATTAGGGTCATTTCAAGAGGGTAAGGTAGGGGGGGGCTAAATATGCTACAATCACTGGATTAATCTGATAATGATCAGCAATAAAATATGATTGACCTCAATATAACACTCTAAAGATAATGGAAAGAACCATTGTGATATAATATGATATGCCAGACAATGATCATCATTATTACCTAGTCATGACCTCACAAAGCACTTTACTATCTGCTACTTATTGGTGAAAAAGATTTGGCAATCCATTTATTCCAAAACATAACCTGTCTGGACAAATACTTTAAAGATACTCAATGAAGCAACTGTATTTGTGTTCCTACTTAGACCCAGACAAAGCAAACCATTTCCTGACCGTACGTGACCAGGAAAGCAATCCGCTATACAATCCTTCAATTGGCAACATGATAAAAAAGTTCAACCTTTCCATACAAATTGGGATTTTATTATAAAGGACTTCATGATATAGTTTCTGTTTATATAAACTCATTGTCTACATATTGTTCAGATTAATGACCTTTCAATTAAAATGTAGTCATGGGAAGAAAAGAAACAGTGTTGCCAATTTGAGTTGATGAATTAACCACTTTTAAACTTCCGTCCCGAATGTGTTAATGTACGTAGCACCTGTATTTGTGTGATTGTACTTACCTAGACAAAGGAAACCATTTCTTGAGAGAACATGTCCAGGAAAGCAAGCACATCTTAACCTCTTAGCAGCCGTCTCTACGCATATCTGTGAGCACGGATGCGTCTGGTCACATTTACCTGCAAGAGATAAGAGAATATATATATGTTTAAATTCATCTTTGATTAAGTACTAAGTTAACTTTTTAAGAAGAGGGCCAGTACTGATATTGACAATACATAGCTCTTACGGCCTTCTTGTGGCAAGATCAGAAAAATATACCATACAACTTTTACAAGTGATCAACAAGAGTAAAAGAAGAAAAAGTTCAACATTCAAATAAAAAAGAATGATCCCTTCCACCTTGAAATTTTGCCATGAAAACTTCAACTCAAGATGGACTCTCAGACTGGGAAAGTGAGTCATCAGAAGCACGACACCCCTCCCCTCTAACCATCTTGACCTATGACCTCCATTACAACCTGTCACACAGACTTGACCTCAGTTAAATGCCTTAATTTCGTTTGGTGGCTGGCATTGGGCTACAATTAAGGCTGAATACTTTTCCAGTTTCGGTTCCGTATTCAGAAGTCACCTTCTTCCTCGCTGCTTCTTATTTTTCTACTTTGAAATATTCTCTACCATTTTTGTTAGCTTGCTTCCTCTCTATCCTCTTTCTTTCTTGGACCATTTCATATTTTCCACCGTCTCCATCTTTCTCTATCTTTCTCTCTCTCTCTCTGATTTTCTTCTGCCTGCTCAAAATTTCTTTTCTGTCTTTTATACTTGCCATAACTCTCTATCTCTTCATATCCTATCTTTTCCTTACCCTCATTCTACATGTAATCTCCCTCCCCTCCCCTCCCCACTCTCTCTCTCTCTCTCTCTCTGTTAAATTTTCATCCTCCTTACGATCCCTCTCTATTTCTCCTTACTCATTCTCCCTTGCATGGTCCACCTCTCTGTCTCATTCATACTTTCACGTTTGTACTGTTTCTCTCTCTCTCTCTCTATCTATATATCTCTCTCTATATATCCATCCATCTCCTCTTGTCGCTCTTCATTTTCTCCCAATTGGGCCGTTTCTCACCCTTCAGCCCATCCACCCTGCTAAGGATCACGTCCAGGAATGTCTTGTTTTTCCACTTGTTCCATTAGCTTTACTCCAGCTCCCTCCGCCCTCCTTGAGTGACTAGCACCAGACACCCGTAAAAGGCCGGAAAGTAAGCTTCGTTTTCAGGACAAAATATTTTATAAACAGGGGTGTACTTGACCCTAACAGCCATCCATATTTCTTGGTCTATTTTTACAGCCTCCCAACTTGGCATTATTTGGTGAACTGAACAAATATGGGGAGTTTGAGAGAGTGACATCCTAATGCATCAATTCATCTTTTTATCTTTGCTCACTCAGCCCTACATATTCTGTGAAAGGTGCAAGATGTATTGAACATTATTGTAGGGAAACAACAAAATGGACAAAGCCAACTTCACTTCAGTAAATTGTTGCACCTGCCCTAGTTCAACACTTGGAGGGGGAAGAATATGCAACTCCCCCTGGAAGAAGCGAAAATAGGAAAGCATTAGTATATCTGTGAAACTTTATAATGATATGCATATGGAAATATTTCTAGGACGGAACTACCTTAAATGTTACAACGCATGTTTTCAGACAGCAATGACAGTATACAAGCATTCGCTTTATTACCCATACCCTTTTCATGACTTGACTGGATATACCACATTTGTATAAAAGAAACATCTGCCTTCCATACTACAAACCAACCGATCTTAAGATTTGAAAAGAAAAGAAAAAACAAACATTATTATCGGAAAGAGATCTACCCCTGTAAAATTAAAGGAGAAAAATATTTAAATTGAATGAATCTCATCCTTTTCATTTCTACATCAATAGACTCCTCTAAGCACCAGAGGGAGATGAAAGAATATTGATTCAGAACTGAACAAGTAGAAAGAACAGTCCCAAAGGAAATGAAACAAGTGTTTCGATTCAAAAAGCACATTTCCTACAGCAGTGCACACAGGAAAGGAGCGTTGTTTGTCTGCGGAAACTAGCCTATTGTCAACTCGACCATAAGAAAATGGGTTTCCTCTCCTGGCGGCCTGCATTTAAAACTTCAATTGTAGCAGTAAGTAAAAGGAGCAAGAATTTGGATGCAAAAGTGATGTTCATGAAGGCAATCTGACTTCGATCAAATTGAAAAGATGTGCAAAATGAAGAATTGGATAACTAATTTGCAAGTTATTTGAAAAAGGGATAATTTTTTTAAATAAGTATCTTAAATTTTTTAAAAGAAGGGAGAAGATTATATTTCCTCTTCTTTTCTTTGTTATTATTTTCTTTTGCAAGAAAATATAAAATAAAATATTGTTTAAATCATTTTTTTATCATTTCATTACAAAAATATTATTATGTAATGTACAAACGGAGGGAATTTGGAATGAGAAATTTCATGCCTTTGTGACAAGTTTCACAAAATGTAATGAGGGATACCTGGGTGAAAACATGGACTGGTCCATGTTGAAAATAAGTTGTTCTATACCTGCTCATGTTGCACAAGTGACAAAGGCATACCAGAAAGAATGTCCTCAAGAGTTAGAGCCCAGAGGAGACCACTACGCATACCACTGATCAATACCAACCATTCTTCCTGCATTGATCTGGTAGGAGGAAAACACTCCAAAGCATCTCATGGACTCATCATAAGTAACCCCTCAAAAGAAGTATGGATTCCCATTGTCCTAATATACCCACTGCCTTTGTTGACTTATGAGTTTTATTTGCTGTCATAATGTTTCACTATCAATGGATTAGGAAAACGCTTCAGACGGGCCGCAAACTTTCAAAAGGAACGAAACCAAACAACCTGCATTCAATCTTGATTCCAGACTATTTGTTGTTCGGTCTTTGGGGGTTAGAGAATATTGATTGAAAAAAAAAACGAAGATGGGACATTCGTCAGGCATGAAATAGAAAGATGCAAGCATAGATTTAGACTAGTTCCAAGGTGGATTAAAATCAATCGGACGACCACAAACTCGGTCAAGATCAAAATTTGATCAAGACCTGTCTTTGGTTACCCCGCTGTAGTCCTATAGGAGCAGCATTTGCAATAGGAATCTGTTTTACGATCCACTGGGAAAGTAGTCCAATTTCTAGGTCTTAGGAGATAGAATTGACCTCATCCAATACCACTGAGGGATACCAGACTGTCAAGACTGTTCTGTAATTCACTTATTCAATTTTCTAACTGGAATAGAATAGACTGTATTGACACAACAGGTGTTTACATGGAAATCTAGAAGTAAAAGCCAAAGTGGGGACACTCGAAATGGGTGTGACTGACCCGTGTAGATACTAGAAAGCTCTTCAAGAAGGCTACAAGTCAGGTGCCAGATTTTAGGCAACTTTAGCAAAGCATCCTAATATTTTGTGACTACAAATCAACACTGTCATAGAATAAAAGAGATATTTTTTTCCTAGAAAATAGATTACAATTTGTGTACCTACAAGCAGGACTTAAGGTAAATTAAACCATGTTTTAGATTGATCTAAATCTAATCTAATCTACTTGAAAAATGTGAGAAAAGTGAGAAAAGAGGGAGATAGCTACAGTCAGTAATAGGCCACTAAAGCAAAATATAAATTGCCGTTTAAAAACAAACAACTGTCAACAACACATCCCCTACAAAAAAGCATACAAAAACAAAACAAACAAACAAAATGACCAAATGCCAACAACACTTCTTCATCACTTCATCATATTTGCACAAACACATATTATGGAGGAGGCCTGAATGTGTGTTATATTTTACACATTGGGTGCCAACTGGCATAATGGAATGATTACTTTAACAGTTACACCCCTCACCTCTATGGCTTCTTCTATTAAACATTTATATTAGTGTTTACCATTAAGTGGTTTTCCTTATTCCTACTGTTCCGTTCAATGCAAATTCATGATAATAGTGAAAGCAGTATTACTAAGAAACCATGCCGTTTTATCACGAGTTGGTGGGTCACTGGCTTCATCTTGAGCTCTGGTATGGGAATCATATTTTGAGAGAAAATTGCTATGATTTATTCTGGATTTTTACCTGCAGAAGATTGGACCAGTGATATCAAAACAAACGCACAAAAGTACTTACAGAGCATTACCCAGATTTCCTTATCTTTCTATGCTCCTTACTCAGCCACTATACATTTTCTATCAAAATTGTTAGGCGCATGTCATTTATTTGTAATCTTGAGCATTCAGTGTACGTTTCGTTGGATTCCGTGTGGATTTATTTTTGGATATTTACCAGAACTCAAGTTTATCTTTAACCATCGATATTTCACATTCCAACTTGAAACATTCAAGGGAACGTTGCCATGCCAACTGTCAGGTTTCCCATGTACTAGGCCCCAGGTCCCTCTGCTATTCTAGCCTTTATCCTTCAGCATTAATTGAATCTTTTCTATTTCATCCTCTCCTTTCAACCAACCAACCAAACAGCCACGCTGTTATCATGTCCAATTTGTACAAATTATCTTCTTAGAGCCCGATAGAATGTTCAGCTGAACAATTCAAGGAACTTTCCTGAAGAGTTTGCCTTTTGTTGCTTTTATTGATTTTCAATGATTTTATTCCCTTTCGCAGCTCCCTGGATGAAAGAAATGGATGCAATTATCAGCTTGTAGAGGATGCTTCCCGACACACAGACCATTATCCCTCCGTTTAATCTGTCATCTATACAAGTCTCACTATCTATCGTCTGGTTTTGAGAACTCGTGTCTACCTTCTCCTTATATCTGTCATATAACTTATTCATTTATTTACTCAGCTCTCCTTCCCCCAAAAGTATTTATCAAGGAGTTCCTCATTTTTCAGACCTGCTGTTACATGTAGCTGTCTAGGCCTGTACCCCAATAACCTTTTCCACATTTTTTCTAATAAGAAATTTTGTTAAATTACGATTTGAGGAATCAATTTATAAGTTTATAGACACGGGGCAGTGGTATCATAGTATTCATACTAACTTGATGGGTAACTTTATGGGTAACTTTACCTTGGGGCTGACATAAAAACATAGTAAATTTAAACCAGTGTACATTTAACAACTACTTGTGAACATGT